TTTTTTAACTGTTTAACCAATGAGGACTGGTTAATGCAACGGCAGTGCCTTCCTTCTGCAGACCTTCTGCTCTAAAGGTAGGGGCATTTATTGTTTATTTATCATTAGGTTCTAAAGATTAGTATTTATTACCTATGCGGTAAACAGAAAACTGAAAAACTTATAACGGCAGTGATTCTGACTACTGTTTGAAAACCACATTAGATTCGAACCCCACTTACATATTTTTTCGTATGATGTGAGAGCAAACCTTTCGGTTTCCTGTTTATTAGGTACTTAATTGGAAGAAACTAATTATATTAACAATAAAATAATGTGTTATTAATGTTTATCTTCCTTTTTGACCACTCATGATACTGCCGGACTGGGTTTACTTTTTGCTGTTGCAATTGCAACACCCAATAAAGGATTAGAAGCATTCAACACAAAACCGGTATTTCATAATACTCTTACGAAATAAAGTTCTTTGAAAAACATTTGCAGGGCGAACATCACGCAGATCACGCTGTATTGGATGAAATTAAAACAATATTATAATAAAGTTAGGTCTCTTCTGTTGGCGGCAATAGTATAGGCAAAATATTCACACAAAACGGATACTGCTGTAGGTAAACTAGAAGTTCGTTAAGTTTTATGCTAATAGAAGTAGTCATGTACCAAATGGAACTGCTATGATAAACATTAATTAAGAAAAAAATTGTACAACATTACAAAATTAAGAATGTTATATTTATTTTAGCCCTACGTATTCTATAAAATTAACAGATATGTATTTAAGAGGTAAAAAGTTTATATTTTTATCATCAATAGTTTTTCATAGTCACTTTTTAATCAGTGTAAAATTGAAGATGTTGGAAATATAATTGCGCCACGGGGTGTGATATATTTTGTACCTATCGTAAGCGTCTATAGGCTATGGTGGCTGCTTACTATCAGGCGGGCCATTGTGTTCTGTGGGCCATACGCTTCCACAATCGATTATATTTATGATTGCATTCAATCGATCGTGGAAACGATTTAATAGTAAATAAACATAATTAATATAAGATAATTTTACATATTTCTTTCTGTAAAAATGTAATTCCATTGTAAGTGTTAATCCACTCTGGTTTTGTGAGCCTGTAATTATTGGCCTATACCCCGCGTACAGGTCGCGGCACGTAACTCTAGCGCTGAACAAAACGCGGAGGGCATAGCTGCGCATGGGTATGACTGAAGAACCAATCGGCGCAACGCCCGCCCACCCGCACACCTCGTTTCCCCCCAAGACATCTTTATTTTTACTTCTGCGCAATAACGGTCAGCGTTACAGTTTCGTGCCGTGACTTATAGGAAGCACCATAATCCATTTGGTTTCAGTATTCTGTGAGTTTGGTAAAGGGCACTTCCTCAGACCAGCGATTCAAACGGAAGATTAAATTGAAAATAAAAAAAAATCCATACATCCTCTTTTACGGACGAGAAGCTTCCGAGATTTACTGGCGAAAGCCAATTTAATTAAAATTAAAATTCCATTAAAAAGCTTTTACCCAGGTAATTTTAAATTTGTCAAATCAAAGAGAACAGATTTAACGGTTTGCGATAAAAATAATATTTTACATCAATTTATCTAAATTATTGTAATGTTAAAGCTACATACCTACCAAAATTTTAAGACCTACATACATACTAGAGATGGCGATATCTTTGATTTCGCCGCATGTAATTTAAAAACTGCTGAATGTCACCAATAATCATAAACTAATGAATTAATTGGCCAAATCTTTCTCCCGATTATTATATAGATCCGGTACTAATTAATAAAACCATAAGTATATGTACACGGGACATAATTTTATACAGTAGCTGGAGATTTCTAAGGCCGCTTTCATTGGTAATTTTAGGGAACTCGAAGCAGTCTGTAGAATATTCTAGATGTATACTTCTATCTATATGATGAGTATAGAAGGAGGTTCAATGGCGATAGTTGCAGTTATGCAACTTTATGGCAAGTCTAGTTTGGTCACGGGCTCCCGGCTATATTTCCAATCGTTAGCGTGATGGGCCATGTAAAGATCATTCTCCCTATTCCGTCGATAGGGAAGGCCTGCGTCTCAGCAATAAATACATTTAGGGTGATCTATCCATCTATATTCACGCTGAGTCCTGGGTGGAATGCGTAGAGAGGTAATAGGCTGATGATGATAATATTATCATTTACAGCTTCTGCGTAATTCTATACAGAATATTACTTTTTAGATGTGTGAAAGTAACTGTCTGTCCGTCTTTCCGTCGTCCGTTTGTTTGTACGTCCGTGTGTATCTGTTGCTTTCATAAGTAATGGATAAATGGGTGCCTGGGAGAAGGGCAACAGTTACTTTTTATCATAAAATTCATATTCCTTTTCATTCCCTATAGTGTATGATAAGGACTACTGCTGTTAAAATAACAAATAGCAAATACAAATAGCCATACAAAGTGCCGACATTATAGATCTCCCGTGCAGAACTAATGTGATTAATTGGAATTCATACAAAATCTTATCAACTGCAGAATTAACCGCGCACATAGCACAGCATTTAAGGCTTTGAACAGATGATATTGTACCGCGCGAGTGCGAGGCCTGCTTTGTTAGACATCGTTAAATGAAATTTGAGAATTTTTATAGGTACATGTGTCATTAGATTTAAATTTTATGCAAGCATTTTCAAAGAGTCTTAGGCGCTGCGGAAACGTGGACAATTTTGTGCCTACAAACTACCAATGAATGGTATTTGATTTTTATAAAACCAGTATGAAATCTACCGCAGATGTAGGTTATTATTTTTTGTGTCCCGTTGCTTCCACTTTACACATACCCGTTGACGATCAAAAAGTGTTTGGTGTCGGAAACTGAAAACTAAAAGTCGTCAGTTGAAGACACAAGCATTATAAACAAATTTTCGTACAATTGTACCATATAATTAACACAACCAGCAAAGATAATGTTTCTTCATCGACGCCCAGCGTGAAACTGATGGAAAATAAGCAACGAATTGTACCAGTGAACAGAAGTAGCGACCGGTGATTGTGTCGATCGCCGCCACCGGACACAGCAACTACGGTTTTCCGTGATGGTGTGTCCTGTCGGTAACAAAGTATCCACGTGTGCGCAGCGCCTAAGGTGCGGTTCACGTGGGCCTTATGAGTAGCGAGCGCGTGTAGTGTGAACAAAGCTTAAGTTTACAGTATCACACTAATATTATAAAGGCAAAAGTTTGTGAGTGTGTATGTTTGTTACTTCTTCAAGTCTAAACGGCTGGAGCAATTTTAATAACATTAGGTATGGAGTTACCTGACACCCTGGGTTAACACATAGGCTACGTTTTTCTGCGGAAAAATATCCCTAATAAACTGCGGGTAACACTGCAGGGCACAGCTAGTACTAAATAGTTCCCAAATCTATTGTACATATACTGAGGTAGGGGCTGGTATGCAGAAAACCACCCCTATCGTTCCTGATCACCAATATGGCCATCCTTGTGAAAATGCAGTAAGAGCTCTGACAAGATTTTGAGAAAGTAGGGTATACAGTTTGAACTTTAAAAGGCCATTTTCTCAAAGTCATATTGAAGCTCTTACTACATTCATTACTAGACCAGTATTAGTACTTCATAGTTCTTAAAACTATTGTATACTGAGATAGGGGCCGATAACCCATCCCTATTGTTTTTGGACACCAGATGTTATAAGTGATATGTGACTGTATTTATTAAAGAATAGTTAGAACAGCAACACCAATATAAACACAATGGATAACACCAATGGAAATTATTAATAAAGGAATTCATCATATAAATGGAAGTACCTAAGTAATTATTTAAGGAAGGAAGAATTTTATCAAAATATAGCAAAAGAAAAGCAAAATGAAAATGCAGCTGATTTTGTTTTGTACTTTACTGATTTGATTCCCGCCTTGTTGTTAAAATGGACCAAAATCTTTTTGATGAAATAATTAGACCTACTGTTTATATTACATTTTCAATACTCCTTCCTCCAACCTAAAAACACAATTGACAATACCTTAAACAGTTATGGTTTAAAAATTACTGTATTAAATAGTAATTTTTCAGTAATTTGTGCTTTTTATTTGTTATCAAAAAACAGATCATTTTCCAACTAGCCATTTTGATTTTTATTCTTGCTCACATTTAAAATGTTAGTGGTGAAACTGAAATTATTATAAAATTACACATGCTAAAGTTATTTTACAGGAATTTCAATTAAATTTAATTTGAAATTACATTTTTAAGTTTAATTTACCATACCAATGATAAAAAGTAAATTAGTTTTTAATGCTTTAATTGTGTTTCAATGATTTTTAGCCTATTCTTCTTCGAAGGCCAATTAAAACAAAATACTTAAGTACTATTTTTTTATATGATTTTTGGTAGTTTAAAAGCTTGCGGAGTTTTTAAACTTAGCCAGAAGCTATGGAAACTTATTTTTGTATTTTTAAATTGAAGTTGAATGTTTGAGTAAATCCTATTAAAAATTAAAGTTCCAACTTTCAAGGCTTTTTTGAGTAACTTTAAGTTATTTCAGAAAGCTGAGTTTTTTTTCATTACAACAACATTCAAGACAATTATGTCACAAAAAAAAGATTGCAAAATACCTACTATGAAAAAAGATATGAATATTTTAAACCTCGCTGGCAGAAATCATTAAAAATACGCAAAAAAAATATAACTCAAAAACAAAGAAAAATCGCAGGGAATTCAGGATACCCCAGGTGGAATCTAAAAAAAATTGTTGACGTCACTAATTGGACCATTCTGTATAAAATAATGTTCACCAGCAGAATTGATTGTATTAACAAAAAAGTATAAGTAACTTTAGTTGGTTAAATTAAAATATAAATAATTATGGTATATATTCTTTACATTGATTTTGTTTGGTTAGATACTTAATATTAAGTTTTAGTGAACTCATACTATTTGAATTAAGTTATTATCTAATACAAATAAAAATATAAAACTTACCTCTATATTTCCCATAGTTTGGAATGCAGTAAACACAAACATAAAACCAAAACCCAGAATTATTACATTTATAAATTTACGCTCCATTTTGTAGATTATTTCAATATCAGAATAACTCAAGGAATATACGGCAAAGTGTAAACTAAAATTTAAACTTCGTTTAAGATAAAAAAACACCGTAATAATGCGACTACACTTCTAGTTAGGTACAAGTCAACTGAAACGATATAATGTTTTACTTCGCGGTCGCACTCTCTGCGTTGCATTCCATTCTCCGCACTCCCTCCTTTTGATAGTAGTTATCCAAATAACAAGCAACAAACCAGCAAAACAAAATCTTTATCGAATCAACCAACAAGACAATCACAAGCACAACACAACCAAAGTAAACACAAAAAATTTCAATTATGACATTGACACTATTGACAGTGACAGACAGAAATAACAGTCCAACTTTTTTATTTATTTATATGAAAAGCAAACTTAGCGGAGACAGCTTTGGTTTTGGTACAAATATTTAAGTAATTTTTAATTCGTGTAGGTAAACATTCTATTATTTCATCGAGTATTTACTACAAAATGTAATGCATTAGCATTCGCGGTAAGTTTCTGTTACGTATTAGTAAGCAATACGTATTATGCTGGTTTTTTTTCCTTTATAGCCTGCACGGTTTGTGCGCCAGTCACACACGAATGTAAAGGTAGGGTAACAGGATAAAAAAGGAACGGATTTTTTGAAGTTATACTTCTTTAGCCGCGTTATGAAAAAATTATGAGAGTGAAATTTTAAGATGCGCGCGCATCACTGTAACACAAAAGTAACATAATGAAGTTAGCCGCGGGCGCGTTATGAAAAAATAATGAGAGTGAAATTTTAAGATGCGCGCGCAACACTGTAACAGAAAAGTAACACCATGAAGTCGGCCGCTAAACCGCACATTACTCGTAAGTCTCGAAAAAAAGCTTCCAACAAAATAGTAATAGGATCTCTTAGTTGTTACATGTTGGGACGCTCGTCGCCTCTGATCACTGTTTTCATATTTATAATATTTATTATTTAATAAAACTGTCAGAATGTGCGGGAGGGCGAAGGGGGAGTGTGAGAAGACTGACGTCAAATAAAGATAGGCGTAGGTAGAAAATACTTATATTGTGATTACTATTCAATATTTGTAGGAGAAATGAAATTACTGTATCCCACAAGGGTGGAAGTACATGTATACTATTATCAAGACACTAAGACGTCCCACGTGGTGGAAGCGTATAGCGTGCAAGACAATAGGCCCTACCTACGAAGCGATGACTTGGTCAATTTCCCAAGAACACCTTATACAAGTGGTGTCAGTATAGTATAGCACGATTCACATGCGTACAGCGCCATCTAGTAGCGGTCGGCGTGATGATATTTGATCCTATGATGTGCCATACAATCGGTGTCGGTATAGGATAGCGCGATTCACATGCGTACAGCGCCATCTAGTAACGGGCGGCGTGATGATATTTAATACTATGGTGTTACAAAACTTATTTACTTAGATTAAATGAGAAAAACCATCAGTATATTGTTTTAAACTTTCATGGTCACTAACCATCATCAATCATCAAATCAAACCATCAGATTTTTTAATAAAAACTTGCTAAGATTAAGTGAAGAAAAACAATCAATTTTTATACATATATGAAGTATGTGTTTTTGACAGCTATGACATCACAATATGGCGCTCAGTCGATCCTATTCTTAGTTGGAACAGATTAATATTTTTTCTCAGAACTTTCTAGAGCCCCTTCTAGGAACGCCTCTATCCTATCAACGACGTAGGAAGGATGCCTGTCACTCTGCACTATGACCCTCAAACCCTGGACTCCGTTTGAACGCCGCACGCCACTGAACACTATGTAACCTAATTGTTCCTGGGAGATATAAATATAAGGTTAAAATAAATAAATACATATAATCTCTTATCTATTAGACAAGTCCGTCCGTCTGTCCGTAGTGCTGTTTTTGCGGCCAAACCGTAAGAGATAGATAAAGAGAATGTTTAAGTTATAAGTTGAGAATAGTCTGATAAGACTACAAACCAGATGTGAGTAACGTAGCACTTCCGATTTTCGAGAAATCACGTGATTTCTATTTCAAACAAAACCACACAAAATGTCCAAAGTTCTCAATTAATTAAATACATTTTTTTTTTGATCAAATCAATTTTTTGGATTGGAGTTTTTTTCATTATTAATTTGCAGTTTCTGAGAACATTTACCATAGTAGTGTATATTTTTTTTATACCATCAGAAAGTAGAGATTTCAACAAACAAAAAACACCCCAACTTTTTTAAAAAAGCACATATTTTGACGTGAGAATTTTCGATTGAAAATTAGGGTGCTTTTTGGATATTAAGTCAAAATAATAAGGTGAAAAAATGAATATTTTAAATCAAAAAAATTACTGTATGTTTGGGACATACAAAAGTAAGTTTTCACCAAATTTCGTGAAAATATATTTTTTTTTTGCAAAAAATAAAAATCATAAACCAAAAACTCGGTTATTCGCATTTTTCACATAAATTTTGAGGTTATGTGAAAAAAGTGTCGATACAAAAGTTGTAGATCTTTTTATTACCTACAACTTTGCCATTTAACTTTTTTTCATAGGACTTGCAGTTTTACCGGAAATCGAGATTAACCATTTTTTACCCTTAAAAACTCACCCCCTCCCCCTTCCCGACCTCAGATCGCCCGTAATTTATTTTTCCTTTCATTTTTGTTATATTCTCTACCTTTTCTAATGGGTTTCATCCTACTATAATTTTTTTTCACTTTTCACCATTTTTAAAATTATCGACCCTGGTCTATATAGAAACAGACCATATTTGTTCCCAGGATTCACGTAGATCCGAATTAGGAAGAAGACCTAAAAGATCATTAATAAAGTTTTTGTATGGAAAAATATCTCCACAATCCACAGCATCATTGGCAAGTTTATCAGCAATTACATTGCCAGAAATACCTATATCACTAGGTATCCATGCAAAAGCTACATCCAACCTTTTAAATGACATTGCCAGGGCAATTTTCTACGGGGTGCTACGCCAGAAACCTCCCCGTGTGGCAATCTATAACAGGATGATTAGTATATTTCAAAAGAAATTTTTGAAGTGCTTGAAGTGGCTTTTAAAATCAGAAAATATAATAGATTTATGCAATTTTATCAGAATAATATATTCTAAAGCTTTAAATAATCCGTATCCCAGTAAAAACGGAAGTTACAGGAAGTAATGTAATTTTTTGATCAATTTTTGATTATAAACTCCAACACAGGCCTGAGAAAGAGTTTTTAGATACAGCGCTATAAATGTAATGTCGATCAGGGTCTGTCTCTATCTATGATTATATTAAAATCAACATTTCAAACGGATTCAAATTGATCGAGAGAAATCTAAAGTAAAATACATTTTGGAAACAAGAGTTAAAGCTTCATAGTCTGCAGAAAAAATAGGCAGAGATGTGAGTAGGGGAATGCAGAGAGGAAAATTTACGAAAACTTACAACTAAACAAGGTTGTGACTTAAGCCAAATATTACAGAACCGGAACTCGGTAGAGTTTCTATAGTATTTGCTTAAGCCTCCAGTAAGAAGATGATGATACTATGTGTGAAAAGTAGATAATTTGGAATGAAGGGGATGCTTAGCAAATTGGAAAGCACGGAATAAAAACTTGTTAGAAAGATATTGACGACGGAGGGTCGACATATTCAACTTGTAAAGCATTGATAGGGCTACTTTCTTAAGCCACGAAGCTATTTTCTTGAGCCATGTAATGCTGTTGAGCTTAAAAAGATTAAGCCCAATAGCATTACATGGCTCAAGAAAGTAACTTCCATAGTCTAAAATACTTCGTAAAAGAGCATTGTTAAGAATTTGAAAGTATATAGGTGTCTACCCCACCAAACACCTGTTAAGCATCTCATGATATTCAAAACTCGTTCACGATTCAGGCCGTAGATTTTGCCACAAATAGCGCAATGGTGTCGCAAAAATTTCTACGAGTCCATAGCGCAGAGTGACGCAAAATTGTTAAGGAGTGCATACAAGATATGTAACGTAAGGACAGTGCTACAAAATAAAACACACTTTTAATAGGTAAGTATGACAAACGTTCAACTTTTACTCTTATCTTTAAGTCTTAAAAGGTGTTACAAAAAAGCGGAGAGTTCTTTTGCTAGAAATACAATTCCTTCACAGGAACTAAAATCGAAACCTCAAAAAAAACACAAATATTACAAAAGCTAAAAAAACACCTGCAAGCCTATGTGTGTAAGCTCCTTTATTTGGTAGCGTAAAATTAATAGCGCAAATTCTACGCCCCTGGTATCGCAAAGTTGCATAAAGTCATTTTTGCGCAACTGTTGCGCAAACAAAACCCATTATAACTTGATAAATAAGCTATTTTTTAATGTAAATTAAGCCTTGAAAGATGTCAAACATTTCATTAAATCGTGCGCAATAATAAGTATAGATATAAATCAAAAAAATGGTTGCCTGTAAAGTCGGTTTTACGGGCGAAGATTTTACGTGACAACGTCTTTTTCTCGGTAGAATATTTATTGATATGAATATAATTAAATTGCACAATAGGAACAAGGAATTGAATGAAAATAAGAATTGCACAAATTTTAACTATAGAAATATATTTTGTTTACTAAAACATTGTACATGTAAACTTAAACTTAACACGAGAGACTCATCGTAACGTTACCGAGCGTTACACTTTTTCATAAGTGACTCCCAGCCGCAACCTAATTTAAGACGTTGTCACGTCAAAAACACTCTCCGCAAAAAATATGACTCTTCCTTCTTTCAAACGATGTTGATGTTGGACTGAAAAAATATGACCGCTGACAGCGTATTGACCATAGACAAACGCACTGCGCACTATGCTCCCCGAGACAAGGAAGTGACCATAGACAAAGTATGTTCGGTGTGCCACTACTCAGACTTGAATACTGCTATTTTTTAAACACAACCAAATGGGTATTTATTAGTTGCGCAAAGGAATGGATTTTAAAGTTTTTCGAAAATGAGTGAAAATTTATAAAATTTCTTAGGTAATAGGAAACGATATTTAAAATGTGGCTAGCTAACTATTATTGTATACCGTAAAAGTTAACAGACTATCAAAAAGATTTTTATTTTTGATGTTACTGATGCTCAAAGTACACCTCTACCGGGACGGATAAGCGTATTTTACGAAAAATTCATCGCTTTTTGTAGCAAAATAATAAATTTCTAAGGTTTTGAAGATATTTAAATATATTTATTGATCGCGATTCACCATTTGTCAGGAAATATGATTCTGTTATTGAAAAAAATGTAATTACCGTACTTTTTTTTTAAAATGTGGCGGAGA